AGATGGAGAGATAGAGAGAGAGAGAGAGATGCTCCACGCGCTGAGGGAACTACTGTGCGTGTGTGTGTGTGTGTGTGTGTGTGTGTGTGTGTATGTGAGTGTGTGTGTGTGTGTGTGTGTGTGTGTGTGTGTGTGTGTGTGATGAGCTTCAAATGGTTTATTTGTGGCTTCCTTCATATGAACCTGTACACACACATTACTGATGTAAAGTCCGACTAAAGTTAAAGACGTAGAACAGACTCAGTTTATATCACAATACCTACATTTAGAGTCAGTTATTCATTCTTTCATTTGACAGAGTTGAATGATATTAAAAAGAAAAGCATAATAAACTTGCAGTTCAGTAAAAATTGTGGTTGTAAAATTCTGTCATCTTTATTTTGACCACAAAACTGTAATTAACCTAGTATGAAAGATTGTGAATACACTGAATCTGTTTAATCTACTTTACAGATTATCACTCAAATCATATAGTAAACATACTTTCTTCTTTTAGCCTCGCTTCTTTTTGGATTCCTGTTATCTGCTCAGTTACGACTCAGTTTGAAACACTAAATTAATTTCTGATATAAAATGTATTTATTAGTTTTTTAATCCTTCTTTGCAGAAGTGTTCATTTACGAGCTGTGTGTGTGAGGGTAATGTGTGTTACGGGGGCTCGTTAGTGAGGTGTGTGTGTGTGTATGTGTGTGTGTGTGTGTGTGTGTGTGTGTGTGTGTGTGTGTGGGTGTGATGTCCTCTGTGAGGGTCATCAATTACTGTAAAGGCCAACACTGTCCCTTCAGTCTACAGCTCCATTCAACCAGTGCTACACACACACACACACACACACACACACATACACATACCAATATACATAGTGATATGTATATATGTAAACATATCTATCCACATATATATATATATATATATATATATATATATATATATATATATATATACATATATGTATGTATATGTATATATATATATATATATATATATATATATATATATATATATATATATATATATACGTGTGATTTGATCAATAAATGGCTGAAAATAAAATGTAAGTATGTTAACTTACATAATTAAAAAATTAAGAATATTTTTCCCTTTTTTTAGTTACTTTTTTTAAGATAAAACAGACATTAAGTGCAAAGTTGTTCACTTTTCAGTGATACAAAAAGCAGAAAACACATTTAACAGTAAATCATACAGAAGCCTCATCAGCTAAATCTACTCTCAGCTCTTCAGTGTTCAGTGAGCCTCTCTTTCCCTTTATTACAGCTTCCATTCTTTACAGGAGACTCACTTTCAGCTCCTCAAGGAATCTGCAGACACACCTCCAAAGTTCAGTCTTAGAAGCTGGTTAATCATTTTCTGAAGTAATCAAACACATTCAGTGGTGTTGAGGTCTGGACTCTGGGGTGGTCAGTCCATTGTTCAGCTTCTTTATTTTCCTTCGTATCTCTGTTGTCGGAATAAAACCTCGTATCTCCAAAATAGTAACTTTACAGGAGAAGGAAAAAACATCCTTTACTTTTAATGTAAGTCAATGGAACCAGGCATCTTTCCAAGTCATTTTGAGCCGTTTCTTTTGGTCCATTCATCATGAAATTTACACACAATGTAAAGTCATTTTCAAACTATGCCAAAAACTGAAAAATGACACAAATGGAGATACGAGGTTTTGCTCTGACAGCAGCGACACAGTCCTCAGTGTGTGTTTCTCTGCTGAGGTGGTTCATGTCTGACAGGATGGTTGCTTAGCTTAGATGGTTCCCACTTCTTGATAGTTTGTTAGGTGGTTGATATGGTATCCAAGGTGGTTGCTAGGTGCTTGCTGAGGCAGCACAAGTGGTTGCTATGTTGTTGCTAGGGGTTTGGTATTATATCCCAGGTGTTTGCTAGATGGTTTCTATGGTGTTCCAGGTGATTGCTGGGGGGTTGCTAGGTGGTTGCCATGGTATCCAAGGTGGTTGCTATGCTATGGTGTTGCTATTCGGTAGTTATGGTATCCCAGGTGATTACTAGGGGACTGCTAGGTGGTTGCTGTGGTATCCACTGCGGCAGCTAAATTGTTGCTAGGCAGTTGCTGAGGTAGCACAGGTGGTTGTTATGGTGTTGCTTGGGGTTTGGTATTGTATCCCAGGTGTTTGCTAGGCGGTTCCTTTGGTGTTCCAGGTGGTTGCTAAGGGGTTGCTAGGTGGTTGCCATGGTCTCCCAGGTGGTTGCAAGGGGTCTGCTAGGTGGTTGCTGTGGTATCCATTGCTAGGCAGTCGCCATAGTGTATGAGTTGTTTTTTAAGTCATGCATAGGTAGTGGTAGATATGTGTTTTTGAAAATGAATGGGAGTCTATGAGAGGAAGAAGGGATGAAGAAATGACACACAGAGGAATGCAGGTCAGTGTGGCTGTGGATTAGAGCTTGAGGACCTGCCCTGAGTGAGTACATGCAGTTTGGTGGCTGTTGGGCAATGAAGTAATAGAGTTTGTGTGGTGGCGAAAATGAATGGGAGTCTATGGGAGAAACGAGAATAACAATGAATGCAATACTCGGCACACAGTTCAGTAATAGTAAATAATGAATACAACATGATGAATTATTATATATTTTATGATATAATTCTCCCCAAAAAGCATTCATGTTTTTAGTAAGTGTCAATAAAGTCCAATACTTCTGTTCTTTTATGTCATTTTTTCCATATTAACATTATTTTTTTATATTGCGACCCCAGTTGACCCCAGTGTGCTGTGATAAACAAGGAAAATACAGGTTTGTCAAGTACATATATTATATACAAGGTGAATATTTACAATTTATTAACATATTTACATATTTACAGCTTTGTCGTCAAATACAGTCTGGCTAATTTCACACCATATACTTTCATTCATCTAGTTTTCAGTTCTCTTCACTTTTGCACTGTTTCTACTTCAGTTACACCTCAGTGTGTTTTTAATTTGAATAAAAGATCACACGAACGTCTAACAGACAGAATTAAACATTAATAAGCAAATAATTAAATTAATAAACATCCTCTTTAACAACCAGGAATCAGAAGTTTAAAGGAGCAGGACGAACTAAAATTCTCCATTTTCCTCCATCTCTTCCTTTTTCCCCCTTTTCCTCACTGGCTCATCCTGCCTTCATCACCCCGCACCCCTCCCTGTGGATGGAGGGGTTGTCACGACAACCAGCCATGACTGGAGGCTTCAGCAGATGCTGCAGCCGGCAGCCAATGGCAGGTAAGAGAAGGGGAAAAGGATGACATCATAGGCAAATCAGGGCAAGCAGCGCGAGGAGTTTGTTTATCGTCGCCGCCGACAGCAGGAAGAGGAAGACTCTCTACTGACTTCACTCACCATACAAAACATAGTGGTATGCACCCCCACTCTTAAAGGGGAAGTCCAGTGATTATTAAAAAAAATCCTAATTATTCCTAATTAAACAGTTAAGATGTAAACAGAGTCATTCAGAGTGGTTTGGTGTGAAACGCTCTGTTCTAGATAAACTCACTGAGTCAGAATTGTTCACGGTGGTGGCGATGGGAACCAGACGTCCACCTCTAAAAGCTCCCTCACAGAAAGTTCCTACATGAAATGGTTATGAATTCACTGCCTGATGAGACACTGATTTATGACAGTTTTGAGAAGTTTTTCCATTCATGGTGGAGGGATACATAATATGCAAGGCGCTGTGAGGCAAAATAGTCCCCAAAGAAAACTTATTATTTCAGATTTTCCACTATTTTCCATCATCAACATTCCATATAAACTCAGAAGACTCGTGTAGGTTCACTGGTGGTTCTGGATAGTAAATAAAATGTCTATATCTGTGTTGTAGTCATGGCGACCCCTGGTTCCTATCACCACCACTGTAAAGACATCTGAACCATTTCACACCAAACCACTCTGAATCTCTCTGTTTACCTCAGAATTGTCCAGAAATTTAGAAATATCAGTGGAATTCCCCTTTAACAGTCACATGTTTTTGTGTTCAGTTGTTATATTCTAATGGTCGTCTAAAGCTAATAGCTCAAACTGTCTATAGAAGGTTAGCCTTAAAGGGGTATTCCACCAACCTTTCAAAATTGACCCATAATTTATTGGTTGAGATGTAAATAAAGTTGATGATGGTAAAATAGTGCTCAATCTGATAAGAAGGATAAAGTTGTTATCTCGAGATAACAATTTTGGTTAACTCATTATCTCAAGATAATTAAATAGATGAATTAATTACATAATGACATTTCCTAATACAATTATTTAAATAGATAATTATTCAACTCGTTATCTCAAGACAACAATTTAGAAGATTTTAGTAAGAGCTCATGGCCTCTCCGGACAACTTTGTTATCTTGAGATCACAAGATAATGAACTCATTATCTCAAGACAATACATTTATTATCTTGAAATAACAAGTTAATTATCTTGTTATCTTGAGATAACAAAGTTGTTATCTTGAGATCACAAGATAATGAACTCATTGTCTCAAGATAACAATTTAGAAAATTATAGCAAGAGCTCAAGGTCTCTCCGGACAACTTAGTTATCTTGAGATCACAAGATAATGAACTCGTTATCTCAACACAATAACTTTGTTATCTTGAAATAAGAAGGTAATTATCTTGCTATCTTGAGGTAACAAATTGTTATCTTGAGATAATGAATTCATTGTCTTGTGATCTCAAGACAACAACGTTGTAATCTTTAGATGATCACGAGATGATTAACTCGTTTTCTCAAGATAACAATTTAGAAAATTATGGCAGCTCATGGCCTCTCTGGACTTCCGTAATACACGGAAATCCTAAACAGGCCCTGCTGGCTCATTTTCCGAGCCTGTGAACCAGCAGATCGACCCTGCTGGGCCTCCTCCCACCGCCCGGCCCCTCCAGCAGCTGCCCTCATTAGCATGCCGCGTCTCGGCCAACGGGGCTCCGAGGGCGCCGTGACGTCACGCGCTAGGGAACAGCGAGCAGGCGGAGGATGAGCGCAGGCAGGCTGAGGGAGCTCCAGCGACGCTCGCGGGGGTCAGGAACGGATCTGTGAGCGGAGAATGGAGCGCGGCCGCCCGCTGTAGGACTACACGCACACGCACACGTTCCCCACGCGTTTACAGGCACGAGGATGAGCGCAGGGCACACACGGAGGATCAGACGCGCGCGGGCAGACAATGTCAGGATATGTTTCGGGTAAGGCGCTGCTCTTATGTGGAGGAGAAGGAGGGAAGGAGGGAGGGAGAGGGAGAGAGCGGGGAGAGGAGAGGGAGATGGAGGGAGGGAGAGAAGGAAGGATAGAAGGAGGAGAGGAAGAGAGCAGGGGTGTTGCGTTTGTGGCTTCTGTTTTATTTTTGTTGTTTTTTTATCATTCGCAGCGTTAGGTAGGCCTGGCTGGGGAAGAAGAGAGGGAAGAAAAGGGGGGATGAGAGGGAGGAGAGGGCAGCTGTGTTGATGCGTTAGGTGCGACGAGGCTTCTTATTCGCCAGCTTCTCGTTCGAATTCTCCGTTCCACCTTAAATGGTGCAGCAGTTACATTCTGTCGCCTTAGGTGACAGAATGTAACTGCTGCACCATTTAAGGTGGAACGGAGAATTCGAATAAGAGGCTTCCTCATTCAGATATACATAAAGCCCCTCTGTTGATGGGGGGGAGAATGGAGGCAGCTGCAGTGGGGAAAAGAGGCAGCTGCTATTTTTGGGGGGGCGCAGAGCAGAATGGATGTTTTCTTAGCATCATTCTCTTGAATAGATGGAAAGCTGGAGGGATGGAAGGAAAGAACTATGGATGGATGTAGCATTGGATGGATAAATGTGTGGATGGATGGAGGGATGCTAGCTCTTTGTTAGCCTAGCGCTTCTCTAGCTTTGGGCCTTTCACTGCATTTTCTTTTTTTTTTCACGGGATGATTGATTTTTTTTCCTCCTCTGTCAAGTTAGCGCAGGCGCAGCGCTCCTGCATGGTCAGAGTCGAGGCTGTCTGGGGTTTCTGACCATTTAGAGGTGCTACACTCCATATGGCGGAGAGAGGGAGAGGAAGAGAGAGGGGGGAGAGAGATAGGGATTGATAGATGGGGTTGAGGGAGTAGAGGAAGAGAGGAGAAAAAAGAGAGAAGGAGGGAGAGGAATAGAGTGCGGAAGAGGGTGAGGAGAAAGGAGAGAGAGAAAGAGAGATAGGAAGAGAGAGGGATAGACAAAGAGGAAACTTATTTAAGTGGCAGCATTGGTGCTGGTACTCATATAGTATTTAGGTGCCAGTATTGGTATCAGTGCTGGGACTGATATGATATTTATGTGCCAGTATTGGTGGCAGTACTGATAATGGTACTAAGTGTGAGTATCTGCACTGGTACTGATTATGGTATTTAAGTGCTATTATCGGTGCTGGTACTCACATGATATTTAAGTGCCAGTATCTGTGCAGGTACTGATATGGTATTTAAATGCCTGGTATCGGTGTTGGTACTGATTATAGTATTTAGGTGTCAGTATTGGTGCTGGTACTGATTATGGTATTTAAGTGCCAGTATCTGTGCAGGTACTGATACGGTATTTAAATGCCGTTAGTGGTGGCGGTACTGATATGGTATTTAAGTACCAGTATTGGCGCTGGTACTGATAAAGTATTTAAGTGCGAGTATCTGCACTGGTACTGATTATGGTATTTAAGTGCTATTATCGGTGCTGATACTTACATGATATTTAAGTGTCAGTATCTGTGCAGGTACTGATATGGTATTTAAATGCCGGTATCGGTGCTGGTACTGATTATGGTATTTAAGTGTCAGTATCTGCGCTGGTACTTATATAGTTTTTAAGTGCCAGTATCAGTATCACCGCTGGTGCTGATATGGTACTTAAGTGCTAGTATTGGTCTCTGCGCCAGTACTGGTATGGTATTTAACTGCCAGTATTGATATTGGCATCAAACTGATATGGTATTTCGGTGCCAGTACTGGTATCTGCACTGGGACTGGTATTTGGGTGCCAGAATCAATGTCAGTGCGGGGACTGATATGGTATTGAAGTGCCAGTATCGGTGTTAGTACTTATATGGTTTTTAAGCGCCTGCATCTGCACTGGTACTGATATGGTGTTTAAGTGCCAGAATTGGCACTGGTACTGATATGTAGTGGGTAACACCTGTGCTTTCTACGCTGTAGACTGGGGTTCAATCCCCCACCTAGATAAACACCCTACACTATACCAATAAAAGGGCAAAACTCCTAACACAACCTTCTCCAGCCTGTGTAAAATGATCATACTGTAAGTCACTCTGGATAAGAGCGTCTGCCAGATGCCGTAAATGTATGTGCTAGTATTGGCACTGGTACTGATATGGTATTTAAATGCCAGTATTGGTGGCAGTGCTGCTATGGTATTTAAATGCCAGTATTGGTGGCAGTACTGATATGGTATTTAAATGCCAGTATCGGCACTGGTACTGGTACTTATATGGTTTTTAAGTGCCAGTATTGGTATCAGTGCTGGTGCTGATATGGTACTTACGTGCTAGTATTGGTCTCTGCACCAGTACTGATATGGTATTTGACTGCCAGTATTGATATTGGCATTGAAACTGATATGGTATTTCTGTGCCAGTATTTGTTTCTGCACTGGTACTGATATGGTATTTGGGTGTCAGAATCGTTATCAGTGCGGGACTGATATGGTAGTTAGGTGCCAGAATCGGTATTAGTGTGGGGAATTAGGTACTGGTATCGGCAATGGTACTGATATGGTGTTAAAGTGCCAGTATTGGAGAAGGTACTGATTTGGTATTGAAGTACCAGTATCAGTGCTAGTACTCAAATGGTTTTTAAGTGCCAGTATCAGCGCTGGTACTGATATGTTACGTAAGTGCCAGTATTGGTCTCTGCACCAGTACTCATGTGGTATTTAACTGCCAGTATTGATATACTGGCACCGGTACTGATATGGTATTTCTGCGCCAGTATTTGTACCTGCACTGAGACGGATATGGTATTTAGGTATCAGAATCGGTATCAGTGTGAGGACTGATATGGTATTTTGGTGCCAAAATCAGTAACATATGGTATTTAAGTGCTAGTATCGGCGCTGGTACTGATATGGTGTTTAGGTGCCAGTTTCGGTGCTGGTACTCATATAATATTTAAGTGCCAGTAATGATATGGTATTTAAGTGCTAGTATTGGTGCTGGTACAGATATGGTATTGAAGTGCCAGTATGGGTGTCAGTACTGATACGGTATTCAAGTGCTGGTATCTGCACTGGTCCTGAAATGGTATGAAAGTGCCAGTATTGCTGCTGGTACTGATGTGGTATTTTAGTGCCAATATTAGTATCATCACTAGCACTGTTATGGTATTTTAGTGCCAGTATCAGTGCTGGTACTGATATGGTATTTAAGTGCTGGTATTGGTATGAGCACTGATACTGAAATGGTATCCGTGCTGGAGTATCACTAATTTGTAACGGTACTGTGGTGCTGCTAGGTGGAAAACTGCCATAAGACTGATGGATGGGGAGGGGGGTCAGTTACAGCGCTGTGGGATGGGGGAGGGTGTGACAGTGTGACAGCGCTGTCTAGTCAATACACACCTTGAGGCTGAACCGCCCTCCCCGCCAGCACACACACACACACACACACACACACACACACACACACACTCACACACTCCTTGCATTTAGGGATACAAGCCTAGTTACAGTGTAAGTGCATTGTATGTGTGTCTGTATGTGAGAAGATGAATACCGCACCCCCAGAGTGTGTGAGTGTGTGATTGTGTGTGTGTGCGTGTATGCGAGTGTGTGTGTGCGAAGAGGCTGGAAGCGTGTGCTGGAGGACGGGGGGATGGGGCAGTGGAGGATTGTGGGATGGAGGGATGAAAAGAGGAGTGTGACTCTGCATTAATGTGCTGGAACTACATCTGTCTCCTCGTCTCTCCAGCCTTTCATTTTCCACATCCCCTCTCTCTCTCTTGCTCCTCTCGTCCCTCTTGTCCTTCTCTTTCATCCTGCTCCTGTCTTTCCTTTCTCTCTTGCTCTCCTTTCCTTTCTTTCTCCCTCTCTGTCTCTCTCATTTGCTGCAGGTTCACTCCCTCTTTCTCGCTCTAACAAGCGAAACGAGCACGGCAGCATAACGACGAGCCCGTAGTAAAAGATCTCTCTCCTCTCAGCAGCTGTTCACTGTACATAAACATAAAAGTACCTTCACTCTCGTTAAGGAGTGTGTTAATTATTATATAATACAACCTTCTTATAAATGTCTGTGTTTTATTGACAGGACGTTACTGATAAATAAGGGGGAATTCTACTGATTATTTTTTAACACTTATGCATAGTTCAGTGGTTGAGATGCCATTCAGAGTCATTCAGAGTGGTTTGGTGTGAAATGGTTGATTGTAGAGACTCATTTCCTTACAGTGGTGGTGATAGGAACCAGGGGTCGCCATGACTACAACACAAATCTAGACATTTTATTTACTATCCAGAACCACCAGTGAACCTACACGAGTCTTCTGAGTTTATATGGAATGTTGATGACGGTGAAATAGTGGAAAATCTGAAATAATAAGGGACTATATTTCCTCACAGCGTACCCCTCCACCATCAATAGATCTGAAAATATATGTTAGTCCAAAATCCTCTCCGAACTTCTGTGAAATTTTGAAAAATGGGTGGAATGCCCCTTTACATTCATTTTATTGGAGAAACAATATGAAATCTGGTGGGATTTTATGCTTCAGTTTTCATCTCAGGTCAGGCTGATTGATGGTACCAGATGTGTTTAGGTCATCCTGACTGGTCAAACCTTAAACTGCAGGTTGGTAAACACTGTGTTTCCTCTGTTGTTTTACTTGTTGAGATATTGACCATATGATCAAGTTCTCACCGTTCCTGTGTGCCTGCTGTCAATTGAACGGTGAGATCGAGGCAGATAAAGAGCTCGAAATCTTCCAGCAGCAACGTCAGGAGCGCTGAGGTGAACAGGGGTGTTTTTAGCATTATAGTAAAAGCAGATGGAGAAGCGGAGATGTTCCCCCTGCGGTTATGAGATCCAGAGCCTACAGACATCGCAGAGCAGTGGAAGCGTCTGTAGGCTTCACTTTAATGGCTGATCCTATAGAGGAATCATAATGCAGTGTTGCTTTGGATCCACCTATAGATCAGCTGTACCTTCCTTAGTCGTACCGTTTTCCCTGTGGACGCTTT